CACGTACGAAGGACTACAGAAAATGGTTTGTGACCTTTTAGATATTATAGATTAATTATAACATATTATAACTACAATTAATAGAAACCCCCTTTGGCAATCAAACATGGCCATGGAAATCACATATCAACGGATCGAGGTTGCAATGGGAAAATCATATTTGTTTTGAGATTTTCCATTGCCGCGTTTGATTACCGGATGGTACATAAGATAGAATGGGCGTATACCCACGGATACAGGATACAGGGTGAAGATGTCACGGGTTCTTCTTGACTGCCCGCAGAGCACTCACACGGTGACTTAGTGCTGGAAGGCCCAGGGTAGACTCTGCATCCTGCTCATCACAGGCTGGTAGAGATTGGAGCTCCACTTATGCTAAGAACCTTGTGAATTAGCCTTACATATCCACCAAAAAGACCCTTCACAACTTTCTAAAGTATACTAAAGTCACTAAAGTATTGTTTTTTGAATTTGAAATGTATCTAGATGTTCTCCCTGTTTGAATTTCACCTCATCTTCCCATGTTTTAGGAAAGCTTCCCGCTAAAACCTCTCCCAGCCGTGGTTTTCCCCAGGACATCACCGCGATGGTCAATCAGATACCGCAGAAGACCGTGACCTTGACCTGCGCCTCGAAAAAACAAAGATGTCGCCAGCTGGAGCCGGATGAATTATGGTCATAAGTTCTTCATAAACCAAACTAATATATGCATATATATATATATAGATATTACCTATATATATATATTACATACATACATACATGCATGCATGCATGCATGCATGCATACATACATACATACATACTAACATACATACATACATACATACATACGTGCCTACATGCATACATGCATACATGCATACATGCATACATGCATACATGCATACATGCATGCATGCATGCATACATACATACATACATACATAATTACATACATTCATGTTTTATATATATATATATATCTTAAATTGTACTAAATTATATTAAATTGTATTATATATATATGTCTACCATAAACATCCAAAAAACATTCCGAAACATCAATAAAACCCTAGTGATTAGAGTTATAAACCAACTTAGCTAACGAACTGGGACACCACCTTTTTTCGTTCGAACCGATCTAGAAATGATGGATTTTCCTTTTTTTAATGTTAGTTGACTGATGAAGCACTACATGTTTGACAGGACACATGTGGTGGAATTGCTTTTCTTCCCTTCAATGTGTTGGTTTTGTGTTCATTGATGTCAACCCTGAACTAATAAAATTAATCAACCACCCGTCTTTAATTGGGGGTGGGAAATATTTCGAATCGAATTATAAGTCGCGCCCCCTATAATACCTGCTGGATGCAGCTGTACCCTCCCATACCCTTCCTCAAGAGTACTTGTGGTCTGATTTGACGGGTTATGTAAATACCTTCTCACGCAATATTTGGATCCAGACCCCCCCCATGGGTTTGTCTGAAAATTGTTAAATCCAAAGGTTAATCATCATCCAATGGTTAAATCCAAAGGTTAATCATCCAATACCTATGGGTACCATCATTATCCAATGGTTAATCATTATCCCCCATCCAAGCATCGTCATGCGGCTGGGGTGTCAAATCCCCAAGTTTCACGGCCATTTCACTCTTGCTGCTTATATTTTATGTTATGAATCCCCAACAAGAGTGAAATGGATTGATATAGGATCATAATGTTATGATAATGTTATGAATAGTATGGATTATGTTATCATATTGATCCATTATGGATATGATTCATATTGATATAGGATGAACATAAATAATGTTTCACCGTGTTTTCCCCATGAAGCTAAAGAACCGGCTGAACGAAGGTGAAGATGCAGCTGAGATGATCTATCAACTGGGCCGCTGGGCGAAGGTTGAACATTGATTTCACCAACCAGTTGATAGGGATATATATATGATATATATGCGTGTGTGTTTTTTTACCACCTAAAATTGGAATTTTTCAACAACAACAAAACATGGGATATTCATCTATCATTTACCAGATATATGATAAAACACGTGTACACACACAGGTTTCAGTCGTTTCTTGCATGTTCGCCACGGCCAGCTACGGGGTTGCCCCTTTATCGCTGGATTGTTTATTTCATGGAAATCCCCGTTCAAAAAAATGATGATTTGGAGGTACCCCATTTTGGGGCACCTCCATGATGTTCAATGAAAATCTGCCAAGAAACCTCCATACTTAAAGGTGCATCCCCACTTAGTTAGTAAATGGGTTATACCTCCATGTATGGAATACGGAATATCCTCACTCATCTCCAACCTTGGATGGGTAGTTTAATCCGTTAATCCTTTAGTTTTGTTTGCTATTAATGGAACATTGGGCGGCAAGGACCCAACCTTTTGCGCCTGAAACAGTGAAAAAAAACAGTGAAAACAGTAATGGAACATATCCATGCCATACAGCAAAATATCATATATTTTTGTGGGCTACCAAAGAGTGAGCATGCACTTATATGGAGGTTTCCTAAAATGGTGGTACCCCTAAAACATATTTGTTTGGTTGATTTTACATTATAAACCAACCAGTTTGGGGATCCCCCATTAATGGAACCCCACATGTGTGTGTGTATGTATGTAATGTAATGTAATGTAGTGTAGTGTAATCTAGTGTAGTGTAGTGTAGTGCAATGTAATGTAATGTAATGTTATGTAATGTAATGTAATGTAATGTAGTGTAATGTATGTATGTATGTATGTATGTATGTATGTATGTATATACAGACAGACAGACAGACAGCCAGGCAGGCAGGCAGACAGAAAGACAGACAGATACATATACATATACATATACATAGACATAGACATATACATATACATATACATTATATATATATGGAATATCCCACTTATTTATATATATATATATACATGCATATGGTATTTATAGGAGTTACCCTAGGGTAAACGTTCACATAGATGTGCAAAATCCATGGTTTCCCATTCGGAAAGCTCCATTTCGCTCCAGGCAGAGTTCAAGCTCCTCTGAAGCAACAGCCGCTGCAGGAACTCTCCCAGGTCATCTCGGACTTTGCCAGGCCCCGAACTTTGCGACGCAGAAAAAGGTCAAGTCCAGTCCTATGAAAAATCGATAGAAAGTGCCGATTTTCTATATGTACTGTATATGTTTCTATAAGATAGATATTTATATATATAGATAGATATATAGATATACGTTATTACGTGTGTGGGTGTTAAAACAAATTATAATCATAATCATGATTTACGAATCATATCGAAAACTCGAATTGTGCTACCTGGGTTTTGTCCTGCCAGTGACCTGGGAAGTGGCCACCGGGGACTGCCAGGTACAAGACAGAGGAGCTGACCCCCTTGGCATCCTGACGTGTTAGAGGTTGTTGCTTTCTTAAATGGGAAGTTGTTGTTGATGATGATGGTGATGATGACGATTGATCTCAGCAATAATCATCACCACTAGTTCTATGTTTTTTCCGGATTACTATTACCATTATGATACTCTGAAGAATTGTATTGCTATCATGATGTTGTGACATCCTTATCCACCTTTCAGGGCTCTCAGCATCGTGAAGAGGCAGCAAATGGTTTCCAGCTGGAAAAAATGACGATCTGCAAATGGTGGGTGAACTCCACATCGAACTCTTAGTTTACAAGAGGGTAGTATATATACGTGTGTATATATATATATGTGCGTGTGTATATGTTAAAATGATTATTGAGTTTGCGCTACTTCTATCATTTTGGGGAGACTATCACGAGGGACATGTATAATTAATATAATATAATATATATATATATATGTATTTATCGAATATTCGTGGTATGGGTTGAAACCACCACCCAATATGTTTTTTGTTTACATTGCGTTCACCATTCATGCCGCCATTCGGTTGGAGGGTCAAGGGAGGCACTGAACCCAAACATCGCCAGCTTTCATTGGCCGGTTTGGGTGAAATTGTGGTACCCCTGCAAATGGATGGTTAATAAAAATAGACTAAAATCTGACCCCAAGATCTTTGATAAATTGACCAATATATAATAGCCATGTGTTTACTGTCCCAATGATGCAATTGGCATCTCCCAATCGATGGCGCTTCATCCGAGGCCATCTCAAGTTGCTGGGCAGTTGAGTTTTCTAGACCTGAAAAATCCTGAACATATAAAATAAATTGGGATATGGTTGGGATATACCCCCAAAAAATGGTGAAATATCTCTGGATTAACCATCTGGATCAAGTGGATGAACTGGATCCGCACTTCCTATAGTATGGGAATAGAATCGATATCGATAACCAAATGCCAGGGTTTTTGAGGGTATCCCAGGGTCCCCTTGAAAAAAGGAAATGGTCGCTGGTCATGGTGTTGAGTATTTGGTTAGCTGTTAGCTCATGCTGTAAGGGGCTAGAACCCAGTTCTGATGTATCCTACTGAAGAAAGGGGTTACAACCCATGAAAAATTGTGGTTCGATCAAGCCATCCAACTGTACCAGGAGTTAGACTCACTTCCGTTTGGGTATTTGGTCCAATAAAAATCCTTTCCCCGTTCAAATAAAATACCACCCAAACGAAACAAAACCCCGGTGAAAAGATGTGACAGGTTCATAGTATGAAACTATATAGGTTTATCTTGGCGACTTATCCGATTCCAGATCGTTAAACCACATTAAACACCATGAAAAACAAAACACCATGTTACCTGGCTATTTATCATAGTCTCTTCATGGGATGGTCCTTTTACAGATCATGTCAGACAGTAGAGATGCTCATTTGTATTAAACACAAACTGGTAATCCATAGGAATCCTCATTTCTGATGGTTGAAACATGTTAAAACCGTCAATTGGATCAAAACTGTTTGATAGAACTGATATTTAACTGATATCATTGATATCACATCTGTTCAACTGGTTTTCATGGTTTCAACATGTTTCAACATGTTTCAACCTCACCATGTCCAGCGCGATCAACCGCGCCATCTCCAGGAATGGTTTGGGGGTTCGCTCACCTATGCTCACGGTCGGATCCGCTGATGTCTGTGGTGGCGGCGGAAGTGGTGAAGAAGATCAAAAACTTCGGACACGAGGAGCGACGGAGCGAGGTAAAATCCGTGGATTTCACCATGGATTTCACCAGCAGAAGTTTAAGCTAGTAATGATAATTCAGATGTGAATTATGATATAATAAATGGATGTCGAATTGGTACTGGATGATGAATCAATGATTATTGGATACTTATCCCAAACTCCGGGTTGATTGGTGGTACAAGGTCCTGTCGCCCTGTCACGTCAAATGTTGGTTGGTATACGTTCACCCCAACTAGTTCGGACCATCATACTTGAGATATGTTGAAAATTCGAAAACGATACCCTCTGGTAATTTAACATAGCTATTGAAAATTGTCGTTTAGAGTGGATTTACCGATTGAAAATGGTGGATCTTTCCACCGCTGGGGATTGCTGGATCCCAGGCCCCGGGGTAGCACAGGGGTAATCGCTGTTTTGCTGGGCCCTTGGGGTTCTAATGTTTGAGGTCAACGGCGAAGGTGTCTTTAATTACTGTCTTTTTTGGTGGGGGGAAGTTTCTGTAAAATTATGTATAAGTATACAGAAAAAATATATAAACATAGGTGAGCCAGCCTCCAAAAGTTTGGAGTCGAACCAATCAAAACGATGATCTGATCACATATATAATTAACCAAATATGAAGCGCAAAGGCAGGAAACCTTGGGTCTGGCGAAAATCGCTAGTTTTCATGATTATGGAGGTGCCACTTCCTGCTCATTTGCAGCATGTTATTTCAAGATCTAGCAATGATCCAATGCTTCCAACCGTTGGCTGGTGGCATTCTCGGGGACCCCCAATGAAAGCCACTTCCGATCCAGCTGAAGCTTCCACTCCACAGGGATCAAGCCAAGATGGTGATGCAACCAGCGTTTCCCAACAAGAAATTGGTAATTTGAAGGGTGGGTGTCTGATGTCGAGCATGTTTGAGCTACTTTATGGATCTTTACGGTTGAATATGGTTTGAAATGATTCAGGGGGGAAAAAGGATCATCCCGACGGGTGGAAAAGTCGCCAATCCCTTGGTGTGCGCAGAAGAACGCAGTTTGGAGGGCGGGAAATCGCTGGGAAAATCATGTGGGAAATCGTAGAATTGGAAATCTTGACTGAACGCCTAACTTATAGAGATGATGAGCATTATTATTATTATTACTATTACTGTATGTTTTTATTATCATTAGTATTATATTATTTTGATGATGGGTGATTGTGATGGTGATGATGATGATGATGATGATGATGATGCATCAAGATATACATGGAATAGTTACTCCCTGGCTATGTAACTTAGCCGTGATGTATACGACTTGCCTCTTGTTCCATGGCCTTTTTCCTTGGCTCACCAGGAGCTAGCAAATACTGCTTGGGCCTTTGCCAAGTCCCTTGGTGGAAAGGAAACCGCAACCCCGGGGCTCAAAGAATTTGTTTGACACATTAGAGTTCATACAGACATGGCTATAACATGGGGCAACCTTTGTTGCCATCCGTCAGGTGCGGCCTTTGGAATGATCAGTTGGCGCAGACTTTGGTCGCGCAATGTTTGGAAGGGATCGAGGAGTTTGATACTGACACCCGGAGCATGTTTCAGGATCCCAGGAGCTGGTGATTTTTGGGTGTGAAATGGGGGTTTAACATTTTAACATGGGGATAGAATGAGAATGAATGAGTATACAACTCATGATGATACCGGTGGTTTGAAACAGTTATCACGTTCAACCCTTTTTGGGGATGATCGAAATTAACTAATTAGATCTAATTAGTATGTTTCGGGGGGGCACCACCAAGCAAAAAACAGTGAGGTGGCAAGTTTTGATTGCCAAAACGTAGGGCTGAATGAACTGGAAAGACTGGAAGTTGATCTTGCGACGTGAACTTTATTATGGAATCTGAAAGGCGGAGTATGTTTCAGGGAAGAACTAAGGGCGTTTCAATGTAGTTTGCAGAAATTGTTGCATGGCTATGGCATAGATGGACTCACTTCATTGATCATGTTGTTTGGCAAACCTTCCAATTTGGCCAGAACATATACGTGCACTTGGACCATACCCACATAGTCTAAAGGAGTTTCAGACAGTGTAATAAATCCCTTACCCTGGTATGAAGTAGCTTCCCCTGGTATGAAATACTCCCTACCAGCAGTGTTGCGTACTGTATTCAACATTAGATTAGCTATATGTTCCCGTGTGAGGATGGCTAAAGCTTTTGTTCAATCATTTTTGATGATGAAACATCTTCATATTAAGGGATCACATGTTTTTTCTGGCATCCTGGGGATTGACCATGTTTTGTCTGAAAATAGTGCACCCCAAGCCCCAAATCTGCTGGTTGATTACAATTTTGGGGGCATACCCTTGGGGTACCACATTTTCAGTTACAGCGATGTGGCATTGGAGAATCCTCGTTGGCATTCATATCGCCTGGAGCACCATGGATTGAACGGGGCCCCAACTCCTCCCAATCAACCCTTAGTTCGCAAACGTGATCAGAAAAGTCATCATTAAAAAAGAAACTCGTTGGAAGTATCATGGTTCACTGTCTATCCATGTATTTTTGTTCCAAGTGATCCTCCTGTTAAACTAACATAGACGTGGAAAAGCCCAGAATTTTTCTGGGTTACCTCCACCTCTGCGTGCGCATTTATCCGCAGCCGAGGAGAGCCTTTCCAATGTGGCCTGGGCGATGGCCCAATGGAGCACCAAAGAAGAGAGGCTTCTGAACAAAATGGCAGAGACTTGGTTGAACTGGCCAATGGTGGCAATGGAAAACAAGGGGATATACGCAATGGTCTGGGCAAATTATAACGACCTCACTGTTCTCCCAAACATCGGAATCATGGTTTGTAAGAGGAATCATCCCAAAATGGCCGCAGCTTTCAGGTGAGTGATTATTATAATTGGCCAATGGTGGCAATGGTGGCAACCGGCATACCATGGGGATATCCGGATATCGGGATATCCATAAGAATATTCATAGGGACGTTCATGGAACATTCATGGGGGTATAATAGGGTATTAATATGTATTAATTAATGATATTAATCAGTATCAGTAGATAAATTATAATGACTTCACTGTTTTCCGTCACTGAAATGCTGGAAATCGTAATGGAAATCATCCCCAAATGGCCAAATGATAACAGCAATGTTCAGGTCGGTGTATCATTTTAATTTAGCCAGCATCCAGCTGAGCAGTGGCTGCTAAATCCCTTTTTCTGGATTTGTCTGGTTATATTCCGTGGGGTTTAATCGGGATTTAATTTAATGATGATTCTGTAGGGATTTATTAGTAATTATATATTATATGGTATTTTTATGATATTTAATGGTGATTATATGGTGATTTACTTGGTCTTAATGGTGTAATTTTGGGATTCAATGTTAATTAAACCTATATTGGCATTACAAAGGGTTTGAAAACTGCACACATGACAACCGACATGACGACCCCGCAGGGTGGTTAAAACCCCCAAGTGGTTTATGTGAACCTTGTTTGTTGGTCTAGAAGCCCCATTGACCTGGGTCAACCTTTCTTAGTGACTTTAGTCTTTAGTACTTGCTTTTGCTATCAATGGTAAAATATATTAAAATGTGCCAACCAGCTAAGAATGATACTTTTGGGCAGGTATCCAAGATTCACCATGTGACTAGTTCGATCCATAGACATCCATAGACCCTGCTATTTCCAAGTTAGTTATCTACCAACATTGCCAAGTATGGGGCAACACCTTGTGCCTAAATGGAGGTCAAAACCAAGACTATTTCCTTCAAACATGAGCACTCCCCAGGGTTTTTCGCTGTTTGTGTTGGGGGATGGTGCCAAAAATCAAGTTATTTTGAAACCAACAAGATGCGGATGCATATGGGATATCGGATATACTCTCCGGATTGCCTGACCATGTTGGACTAATCCCCAAACCGCCGAAAACCGTTTGTTTGGGACTGTTACTTAAAAAATCGTCCCAGATTGGTTGAAGGAAACATCTCCAGGAATTTTATTGGGGGAAAGATGAGTTGTTTCCTGTTTCCTATATATTTTTTTAGATTTTCCCTTAAACAAATCTGATGTGGCGCCTTGCAAACCCAAGGATACGTTGCTCGTAAAACAAGATACCTATGAGCCTTGGGCCTTGAGTGGTTCGGCGGGCTTTGGTGGATTTTCATATATATATATATATGTATATATATATATGGATATGTATGCACATTTATGTTTAGTATGTATTTCATACCGTGGATATGTGTATATGTGTATATATATATATTTAATATGTATATATTATACATATACAAAAAAAATACATGCGAGTTTTTAAAAGAACACGTAGACATATTAAACGCATATATGTATATATGTGTGTATACACGCATTTAGATACATACCGATCCTTAATATGGAAGCATATGGATATGTAGATGTTTGATTTCCTTGGCCAGGATGCTAATTCCCAATTCTTGTTGGGTTTTGAGTCAAGTTCATTGGGAAATCATGTATAATGATGTATGATGTGTATAACCCCATAGCTCCTGCCTATTTTGTTGGTTTACAACCCTTATTTTTATTGGTCAATGAAGAAGCACATGATGAAAAGGGGTATATAATTATAGCAACCCAAAAAAGAAGACAAAAAATCAATCAGGATTGTATAGATGATCTTTGCCCAATAGTTTCCAGGATTTCCACCTTTATCACTGGAGGTTGGGATAGCCTCCGGTAATCAAAGATGGCAATTGAAAATCCACCAGTTAGTTCGATGAGCAGAGGCTTAGTTATACGGTAACGGCATTTAAATATGCGGCTGGCGGGCCAGACCACAAGGCGCCGGAGGTAGTATGAAAGACCAGTTGCACCTGTATATTTACATGTAAAGTTAGAGTCATTGGATTCCATATGTTAAATGGCCGGGCGGGCCAGAAAGAAACCTTCCCGGAGGTAATCTAAATACAAGTTCGTATTTAAAAAAAAAACTATTTAGATGTAGTTACTAAGTAAATATATATATATATATATAATTATTAATTACAAATTATGTAAATATAAGTATATGTAGTAAATATGTATATATGCATATTTGTAAATATGTATATATGCATATTTGTAAATATGAAAAAAAAAACATATTTGTAAATATGTATATATGCATAAATGCATATGTATACATACATATATATATATATATGTGTATATATATATATATTATGTACATATGTACATATGTATATATGTACATATGTATATATGTATATATGTATATATACATATGTATACATGTATATATGCATATATGTATACATGTATACATGTATATATGTATATATGTATGTATGTATATTTGTATATATGTATACATGTATATATGTATATATGTATATTTTTATATATGTATATATGCGTATATTATACATGTATATATGCGTTTTTGTATATATGCATACATGTATATACATGTATACATGTATATATGTGTATATGTATATATGTATATTTGTATATATGTATCTATGTATATATGTATATATGTATACATGTGTATATGTATTTATGTGTATATATAATATGCATGCATGTATGTTTGTGTATATTTATATATCATTATATTCCGATGTATCCCCATTAAACCAGCATTAAACCTCCATTTCCCACTGGTTATCCTCAATGTCCATCTCATTTGGTCAATGCCACAGGAACCGCGGCCAATGGCAACTTTGGCCTGGGCCTTTTCAACGCTCAACTTTCGACCCGACAGCGGCTAGCCATGGAAAGCTTGGTGAGGTAGGTCTCACTGGGACGTTTCGTTTGGGAAAATGATGCAGCCGGGATTGAAGCACTGGATTTTCAGATATTTTACGAATGCCTCAGATATTTAAGCAATCTAGCATCATTTAGCCATGAAACATTGGGATTTTAGATGATATCACCATGATTTAACCAAGAATGAGGACTTCACTAATCAATGATTGGTTTGATTTGTTGGATGTTCGGATGGTGAGTTGAAACTTGTTGAAACCATCAGCCAGTTGTGTAGGCGGTGCATGGTTGGTGAATGGCTGGTTGTTGTGGAAAATGGTGGTTCAACAATCAGAACTTGGGGATTGAACCGTCAGAAATTGGATGTCGCGGGTCCATGGCACTGGATTTTGAGGTTGGGATCATTGGGATCTGGATGGGTTGATGGTTGCTGAATACTGTGCGATTGGTTCCATGTTCAGATCTTCTTAATGAACTATACCCTTTGGTAACTAACATAACTATGGAAAATCACCATGTTTAATGGGAAAGCTCACTAGTCACTATTTCTATGGCCATTTTCAATAGCTATGTTAAATTACCAGAGGGTAAACATTGAATTGGGCATTGTTTAGTGGGCTGAAGCAGCAGGAGTGCGCAAAGGTTGTTGGACACTGGACACTGCGGTTGGGCGCCACCCAAGGAGGAACACAGCCTACTCTCCGGTAATGAAACAATGGAACACCACCTTTGAAATTTGCTTTTGAATGGGAACATCATTTTTAATGGGTGACTTTTCATTGCCATGTTTGATTACCAGAGGACACCTGGGGTTATTCACCAAGGGCAGCAATCGAAGTTCCGTTTAAAACGGGTATTATTCATCATTTTCAATGGAGTGGTTGTAGATATCGTTGACTGATACGAACCTGTAGTTATTTCAGATGCTCACAGGTTTTCACCAGCTAATTGGTGGCTCATCCCAATGTTTGTGGCTTAGTTGACCTCAGTTAGAAATAACGGGGCCAGACGTCCAGTTATAACATGTTATAAATTACAACTAGTTATAATAATGTCAACCCTGGATTATAAAAAACCGTGGGTTTCTGTAGGGGGGGTACTCCCCAAGAATCCCTGTTCCCTATTACTAAACGTACCCCAAATATTAAAAATGATGGAAACTTCAGAATGGCCAATTTGATTTTTAACTGATCCCCTTTAGAAAGAAATTTAAACATGAAAGTCCCATTTGAGAGTTTCAACCCCTACTGAGAAAAACTAGTCAACACCGCAGTGTTTTTTATTTGGTCCGTCCTTTAAAAATCTAACATTTCAGTTGTTTTGTTTTTTTCCTTTAAGGTTTTTGATTTAATATTGGGGGAACCTTCGAACTCCATCTTTTTGGGAATATGTTAATAAGATTTTAAAATCCCCTTTCAATTACTGTAATCGATTTTGAAATAAACAACAATATATTAAGGTAATTGATTTTCACATTAGGGAAAACTCGAAATCAAATTTTTGGCAGTAGTTTATTTTAATGATAAACGGGGTTTAATCGATTTTGAAATTGAAATAGTTGTTTTTATTAAGGCTTTAAAGTTATTATTAGGGGAACCTTCGAAATCCAATTTTTGGCAATATTTTAAGTTGGATTAAATCATGGATTGAATATGATTTCTATAATCGTTTTTTTCCAAATCAGGTGTTTAATATAATAGTAGGGAACCTTCGAAATCCAACTGTTGTCTTAAATTTGATTTAAAGAGGGATTGGTATAATCGATTTTGAAATAGAAAATGTATTTGTTTTCATTACGGTTTTAATTGTGTATTAGTGGGAAGCTTTGCACCCTAGTATTGAATACCCCCTAGTACTCAAAACTCTTCCAGGTGTTTATTCTTAGGGGGGAAGGGTTTAGTATTAGGGGGGAGGGATTGATCATAATCTAATACTTAAATGGTACTCCCTCAATTCAACAGCCGTTCGGGGTTTATGAGTCCAGGGTTGGCATTGTTTTAAACAAACATCTATTTATCAGTCAGAAGTAAGATGGTTTATCATGTTCTATCGATATCTATCTAATGATTACTCTCTGGTAAACTAACATAACTATGGAAAATCACAATTTTTAATGGGTAAATCAACAATAAATTGCAATGTTCAATAGCTATGTGAGTTTACCAGAGGATATCACTTGAACTAAGCCACAGCTGACGTTGCCGAAAAGTTGCCGAGGTTTGTTGAGGCGGATCCTTCAAGAGTCTACCAGGCCCGAGGGCGATGGTTGGGTGAATGGATTGGAAACCTCTGTGTATTGGTAACTTATAGGATATAGTATAATATATATATATATATATATGTATGTAATGTCCATTCTTCTTGGCGTTACTACAGCTATGTCAAATTTGTTGAATTCGCTTTTCCTAGGTCTAACCGCAGGTCAGGTCCAAAAGAAAGGCTAGTGCTGAGATGTGCTGAGTTGAACATGTTCGACAAGACTGATTCCATGTTCGGTGAGGACATAGCCACAATTGCCAGGTCAGGTCAATATGTTGCAACTTCCAGCTAAACCATTCCTGGGGCTGAATCCAACATGAAGGGAGGTATATAGTATGTATATATAGATAGATAGATAGATAGATAGATAGATAGATAGATAGATAGAGAGAGGGAGAGAGCTGGGAACATCATCTAAAAATGGGAAATGTTGTGTTGCCACGTTTGATTGCCAGAGGCTACCCAAAAAAAGGATGGCAAGACGGCATGTGGATCAACATGTCGATATGTATGGGGATGAAAACCTTAATTCTACATACACCTTTTTTTAATAGCGGATTTGGTGGAGTGAACATCCAGCTGCACCAACAAACTCTTGCACCGTGAAGTGTGCACCATTTCTTTTCCGGTGGGGCCCGGGTGGAGTGACACCGGTGAAGCGCAGGAAAATCTCGCAGTTTTCCATGAAGGAAGTGGCTCAAATAGCCTGGGCCTTTGCCAATCTACGCTTTCACGACCTGCATTTGTACCAGAAGACTCTTGACGGGAAATTTGACAGTCTATGGTTGGATAATGCTTGATTTACCAACTTTTTGTAGGTGTCAATGGATTGCCTAGAAAAATCTTCACCGGAAACACCGTGGTTTTGACTGGGTCCAATGTGGCGGTGCGATCCAGAGAGTTGTCGATATCCTTAGGTTGCTGGGACCGTGACCCACTCTTCTTTTACACTAGTTCCTATGCAAAACACACAACACACACAGAGAGATATGTATATATATATTTACATACATACATGCATGCATGCATGCATGCATGCATGCATACATACATACATACATACACGTACATACATATTTATATTTATATAGTGTATATATATATGCATAAATCTAGGTTGGCAACCAGCCAGACTCAGCCAGCCGTCTGACAATGTGGTGCCTCCCAGTCCATAGACCTCTACAAAGTGCGGCCCCCGTTTACGATAGCTAAGTGGGTGCAAATAAGTCCATGTTCACTATGGTTTATGATACTTATTTAACCATAGCTATTGCATTTTACAAATCAACTTATAACTGGGCACCCCCACATTGTAGCTTTAGAACTTGTAAAGCAACACTTTCGCGTTCACGATCGCGGAGGATTGCGGAACACATTCAAAAGCAGCAGAATCTGGGGATGCTACCGGCAGAGATCGCGAACATCGCCTGGGCATTTGCCAAAAACCACTTGTCCAACCAAGCGACTTGGCATCCACCAACCGGGTGACCAGGCGACCAGGCTGTTTGGTCTATACCTTCAGCCGAATGGACGGTTGGAGGATCTGATCTTTCTTAAACTGGAGGATTGATATTCCTAAATAAGGATAGGCGTTCAGGATTTTCAGGTATGTAGGGTAATCATATATTTGTAAATGTGTATATGTATACAAATACACAATATATACACATTATATACACATTTATTTATGTATATATTGATATATATTGTATATCAATATATGTTTGTACTTATTACGAATGATTTATTTATAGCTATGCATCCATGCCCCCCCTCGCCGTTCTCGATGTCCTCCTGAGGTTATCATGAATCGCCTTGCTTCAGAGGCCGTGAGCCAAATTGGTGGCTTCAAAGCGGCAGAAATCACCATGCTCACCTGGGCCTATGCTGCCGCTGGGGCGCACTTGAGCCCCACCATGGGCCACTGGTGTGCCCCTGAACACCCTAGGGATCCAATATGGAAATTGGTATTTCGTGCGAAAATTCATAGTTTTTATGGTTCATGGGGAGATGGGATTGAAATGGAATTTAAGAGAGGGATATTCATGATTTCATGGTGAGATTGATGGGACCTCTGATAGCGACTGGTGGTGCGCAGTTATGTTTGTCCGTGTCAACTAATGTCAACTAGAGGTAGAATTCGATAGAATGACCGAAAACCCTGGTTGACATAGTTATAAATTATATAAAGTTATAAGCCAACTTAGCTATGCCAAGAGTGGGGCACCTGGTAAGAAAGGAATCATTCAAAGAGGGTTTATGTCCTTTTGTGTTCATCTGGCAGTTGTGAATAGTTGCACACATCTACACGGGTATTTCACACACTTGGAGAACAAAAACACACACACACAAAACTCCCATAAAGTTCACTACAAAACTAGTCATAGCAGTTCTATTTTCTCATGGGTTAGAGCTACCTGTTCTTTAGTAAACCACTTTTTCAGTATCCCAAGTGAGGCCGACCAAAAATTCTCCGGAGGTCAGTAACTTGGGGCACCCGGCCCTCATGCTGGAGATTGGCACCAAGGCAACCGGGAGATTCCGACCAAAAAATCCATCGCCGCATCAATACTATACGGGAATACTGTATATATATATAGATATATACCATCTGGTTATGACTAACAGTTTGCCATGGAAAGATCCACCATTTTATAGCTAGGTAAACCATCTATTTCTATGGGCCATGGCTTCCATGGCTATGTTAAATAACCAGATGGTATATATATATATATATTATGTATATATTGAATCTTATAAAACTATAAGTTATATAATAGTGTGAATATTCACAAGATATAGTATTATACCCGCTATTTTCCGCTATTATGGTAAAATGAACATATTCATGCAATAATGTGAATATTAGCAACTTACCCTTTGTTATCTTAACACAGACCCTGAGAATAACATTTTTGTAGTGGAAACTATAATCGTCCATCCCCTATCTGGCAGGGTCTACGTAAATTTACTGGAAGGTGATAATATATGATAATTTACCCTCTGGTAAACTAACATAACTATGGAAAATCACGATTTTTAATGGGTAAATCAACTATAAATGGCAATTTTCAATAGCAAACTGTTTGTTTACCAGAGGCTAATTTGTTGCAGTGTGGAACTTTTCCCATTCACACATGATGAAGCTTTAAACAGGGCCGTGGCAACATGTGGCAAGCGTGGCTGCATGAAATGCCCCCTGTTGAGATATGGTGATGATGGTGATGGGCCTGTGGGATGAGCATTTGGCTATACCATCTGGTTATGACTAACATAGCCATGGAAAATCCCAACCATAAATGGAGGTTTATAGCTGGGAAAATCATCTATTTCTATGGGCCATCTATACCATGGCTATGTTAAATAACCAGAGGGTACCAGCTATTGTGGAATGAACAGAAGGCTACCAGGGAAAGTTAACTGACCCAGTTCGCCACATCTTTGCTGACTTCAACTAACGTGTTTTTTGTAACCAAATTTTCACCCCATCATTTTCTCATAACCTTTTTATTGAAAAACATGTATAACTACTTTTCTCTGGGCAAATCGTTCCGAGACATGAACTTCCATGTTGTTTTCATTAAACCCACCATTTACCCATAATTTACCCTCTGGTTATTTAACGTAGCCATGGAAAATCACCATGTTTGATAGGTAAATCATCATAAATCATCTATAAATGGACCATTTTCCATAGCTACGCTAAATAACCAAAGGGCATCATTTCTTGGAAGTTTCGATGTCCTCGCCTGGAAGGTTCACCGTTGCGGTGCCAGGTTCTATATGAATATGAAGGGGTGTAGTACAGTAGGATATTTATCCATTACTGGTTGGTGGTTTCAAACATTTTTTATCTTCCATAATATATGGGATCATCCTTCCCATTGATTAATATTTTTCAAGATGGTTAAAACCACCAACCAGCATTATTATCCCATTTGACTATTGAGTAATGATATGTATGGCTTGCATTGCAGTGTTATTTGGTTTTTTGGGGCGTCCTCATAGGACGCCTGCGGACAGACACGCCCGACAGAGAGAGAGAGAGAGAGATGTATTGTTCAAAGATGCCACAATGATCCCAACTGACTAATCATATTCAAAATCTCAAGGGTATTCAAGGATATTTTGGATCATGATATTGGGTCAATGGGGGTTTCAGGAGCCTGGGATATGGAGGTACTGTACCATATCAAGCCAGATTTTTTGGCGCATATCCACCTAGCTCTCAGTTTCTAACCATTCTAACCCCAGCTGTAAGTGAGGTAAGCAGGGTATTAGTCCGGTTCGTTCGGGTGCTTATAGTCCCATTCCCCTAATATCCCTGATATATTCAACACCTCTTATTTAATAAGTGTAAATGCCCCCGACTAAACCATGTGTTTTTTGTGGTGTTATTGAATATGAACGGGGGGAAGGATGAATGATAGTAATATGTATTTATTAATAATGTATATTTGGGTGGTGTATGGTGTTGTTATGTACCTTCAATATTTATTATTGTGATAATCCTGACTTACTAGGTCGGGGTTTCAGCAACAATTACCCTTTGGTTATGACTAACATAGCCATGGAAGCCATGGCCCATAGAAATAGATGGTTTACCTATTAAAGCCTCCATTTATAAGGGATTTTCCATTTATAGATGGTTTACCTATAAAATGGTGGATCTTTCCATGGCAAACTGTTAGTCATAACCAGAGCGTAATTGTTGCGAGATTTTTCCCCATGTCCAGGTCTCACAGCGAAGTCAAAAGTTCACGCCTGGGCAGTTGGCACACATCATTTGGGCCTTCGGTGCCCTAAGTCTGAAGTCGCCCGGAATGAGATGTTGTTTGTTTTCTGATATTTTTAGGTGTCCCAAAAAACTGGGATACCCCAAAACTATTGAAAACTGTTGGTTTCAATACTAAAAATGGTCTAATTTTGGATAATTTAGGGTGCCTCCATTTTGGGAACCCTCTATATGGCTTTCTTGTAGACCTTGGAACCCCTGCCAAAAATATGGGCTTGTCTGGAAATGAGGTAGTCCAGGTAGTTACCACCCAAAATTGGCGGACTTATCATCGTTGGAATCTAAACCAGGTTGAGTTTGAATTGCGAAAGATTGTCCCTTCAATGTTTGGGCATGTCCCGAGCAATTTTAGACTTTGCGGGGGGGGCTGAAAAAACAATGCATTTTGTTCAGGTCCAGGTGTTCTATTCTAGACTACCTCCTTGCAAGTTTCTTGGGAATCATGTTTTAATGTCAACCATTTTTTGATGCAGCTTTAGGACGTGGAGGTTGTTTGATGTCAACCATTAAAAAAAGACAGGACAACAATCACTGGTTGGTGGTTTGGAACCATGGAATTTTATGACTTTCCATATATTGGGAATAGTAACCCCAACTGACTTTCATATTTTTCAGAGGGGTAGGTCAACCACCAACCAGACAATCATATGTCACCGTAAAAGTGCGCATACTTCATCGAAAGAAAATGCACCGAGTGCTGAGGGCAATCGAAGGCCAGATGGAAGAACATTCAGAATCCAACAAAAGCTGTATATCAGTATATTGGATTAAAGGTAAAGTTGGCAACACTTGCAATGTTCGGAGCATAACTCAAAAGATGTTTGTATGAATGTATTATACATATATATATATATATATTATTTGTTGGGCTGTTTGGAAAGTTGCCAATTTTTTGCGCATGTTCTCAGCTTAAGTGTCCTCATTTCCAACATCTGAGCGCCCTCAAGTTGTCACATTTTTTCTGGCAAATCCTCCTATGAAAAACTTACCCTCTGGTTATTTAACATAGCCATGGAAAATGGCCCATTTATAGATGGTTTACCTATTAAAACCTCCATTTATGGTAGGGATTTTCCATGGCTATGTTAAATAACCAGATGGTATGTGTGCCATGGTCATATTTTTTTTGCCTGTAAAAGGGGGGTCATCCCCCGTCATGATGGTCATACCCCAGCATGTAACTGGACCCTGTAACTTATCTTCATGGGATCAACACCTACCATTATGATTAAAGAAAAAAATCGATTCATGATAAATCATCATGAATCATCCATACATCCATAAATAAATCATCATAAATCCCAGCTTAACTGACACGGCTGAGCCGGGCTGGCTACCGAGAACCGACACGGCTTCGCGGCTTTCGACCGAGGCACGAGGGGTTGTGCGAGGCTGTAGCCAAGTGTTGCCAAAACGATATGCGCCGTGCCAGCCTGCCGAGTCCGGGAGCGCATGCGGGCACCGCGGGCGCGCAAGCAACACCAAATCGGGACCGGGACGCCAACAGTACTTACAACGCCAACAGCCTCACGAAGCTTGGCAAAGATTGGCGAAATCATGTGAGAACCCTAGTTTCTATAACAACGTGTATATATATATATATATTATATATATAAAATTATATATATATATATCGATATATTTTTGTGTATATATATATATATAGTGATAATTATGTTAAATATGTACATATATGATATTTGTATAGAATATGCTTATATATGTTACTTTAAACAATGACAAATGCTGATCCCGTAGAATTGAAGATTCGGCGAGGGCGCGTTTCCCATGCGTCTAAAAAATGTGGTCGTTGTGAGGTGGGGTTCTTGTCCACGTTGCTGGCTGAAGCTTTTTGATACAGTTCTTTAATTTTCAATATGATCCCCGACTTTCAGAGTTGTGAGGGGTGATCAATGTGATCAATATGTGGAACAAGTCAATTTTTGCACAATTAAGTTAGTGACCTTGGTGTTTTGAAATGCCATAAATGGGGCTCACAAGGTGGGGTCCCCAGTTCTAAGTTGGTCTAGCACCCCCATCATCATCACCATGAATCAATCCGAAAGTCAAATCCCAAGTCTCGGTTACTAAACCATGAACTGATTCATCAAAACATTGGAATCCTCCGTGAAAAACCATATTTAAACCATCCATTAATCATATTAATCACCATGAGTCTCCAATTTTGTTGGTTAAATCAGATTACTATAGATCCCACTTATTGATGTCTTTAAAGCCATGCCAATACGCCATGGCCCCAGCACTCCATGGAGGGCACTGCAGCACCAGGCAAGTGGTTTGGGGCTTCGCCATGGTGCAATACCGGCAGCTCGGCATCGGTGACCGGATTTGTCTGGATGGCAACGTACAGAAAAGCAGTTATTTGGTGATGGATTTATCATGATTTTTTCACATCAACTCTACAGATTTAATTATTATGATTTATATATACATATATATATATATATATGTTTTTTTATTTATATTTATTTTATCGTGATTTAATGATGTTTTTTGTTGAATGGAACCTTTCAGCAACTACGTCGGCCCATTTTTGTCCATCGTGGTTTGACCGGCTTGAGGGTTTTATGGGTATGGTGTCCAGCCACAATCTCTTGCCGATTTACCTATCAAGAGATGCTTGAATTGACTGGAAGGAATTGAAAATATCTATACCTTGGGGACCTTGCGATTTGTTGAGTGACTTTCGGTGGCTCTCTCCACAGAATCATTCGGATTCAACCAGCAGTGTCCCCATTGCTTTGACATGGGGCGGCAATCAAACATGGCTTCCCGGAAAATCCACCGAATGATTTTGCAGCAAAGCCTCCATTGAGTTCGGGGAGTTTCCAGCCACGGTTTGGTTACAGGTACCTGGTTAGTGATATACCCTCCGGTAAACTAACATAGCTATTGAAAATGGCCATTTATAGTGGATTTATCCATTAAAAATTGTGATTTTCCATAGTTATGTTCGTTTACCAGAGGGTATTTGAAATGAATAAGAACCAAACTATCCAATCGTGGGAGCTAAGGATCTAGGGGTATCCATGTTCCCGATTGAATGGGGAGCTAAGGAGACTAAGAGTGTCCCAACCATATGTCATTAATACTCCGATATGTCATTAATATCCCTAGTAAACCACCATGAAACCTCGATCTACCAATGGTGATCTCATGTTATGTGTTGCTTCAACCCCCCGGCGCATGACATGCCCAGGAACACCTCCTTCCTTCATGAAGCAGCAGGGCGAATCTGTCTTGGCATCGACATGTTGAAACCCTTGTCGCTCTGGCGGTGTGCTTCGGCCTACAACGCCATGATGGTGAACAACAAGGCTCGCTGCCATGGGAAATCCCCGAACTAAATGGAGGTTTCAAGTTGGGAAAATCATCGAACTAGGATTTTTCACGTTGAATTGCCAGAGGGTGGTGATTTGTTTTTTGTTTTTGTAAAATGATGTTTATTATGGACGTTGACGTTTAGTGGGGCTTGAATGGTGGTTACATGCGGGTTTACATGGGGATGATGGGTTGTTCACCCAGTAACATCCATGAGGGAATTCAATGAGGATCTTTGATCAGACATCCAGCTAGCTGGGAAAACTGACTAGTACAGGGTGACTAGCAGTTAAGATCAGTTCAGTAATTTTCAATGGTTGGAAGGGAGCTTATTAAGTCCAACTGGAAGCACAATGTTATTAGTTACTACAGTTAAGTAATTTTCAATGATTGGGAATGTGTTACCATTTTGACTGTCCAATGGTTGGGAGGGAGCGATTCGGAGCGGTTGGGTTATCCATGTTCCCTGTTGAATGGAGAGCTAAGGAGGTACTAAGAGTTTCTCAGCCATATGATAGCTGAGGGGGATATATACTAATCAGTTGTTTGTGGTTCAAACATAGATGGTATCCAAGATCGACCACAATAACATCAAGCTGGCCAATTCTGGTATGTACCTATGGTCTATGTACGAAAAATGGCGCGCAAACCCAACGAAAAACAGTTTAAGCTTTTTGTTTGCAAGGAAACCCGCTGAGCAACTCTCTCTCTCTCTCTATGAGCCTGTGTCAGCAGCTGTGTCTGCAGCCGGTATGGAAGCTTTCAATTTGTGGATGAGCGGACGTGTTTTGTTCTCACGCAAAAGCAAGAATAGTGGGATTGACAATGATGATGATATTCCATGAGGACATCCTTGGGCAAGGCTGTATGTGTAGTGAAAACCATGGTTTCATGTCAATTGTCCCATGTCCATTACCCTCTGGTAAACTAACATAACTGTGGAAAATCACAATTTTTAATGGATAAATCCACTCTAAATGGCAATTTTCAATAGCTATGTTAGTTTACCAGAGGGTACCTCATGTTTGATCTATGACATGAAGCAATAAAGATGGGTCCTGACAGGAGATCAAGGAAGCCATTTTGGTTGAGGCCTGCAAGAAACAGCAGGATTTCTCGCTGAAACTTGGCTTCGGGTTTCATCGGAGCGCTTCGACACAAGTTCGACGAATGACTGATTCGATGACTACCATGGCTTCGTCTAAAAAACTACTTAGATGGGCCATGGGATTAGCTAACTGGTTAGCAACTGGGAATATAACCCCCTATATCCCAATTATAATCCATTTACTGACTAGTTAACTAACTCCATGGCCCATCTAAGTAGAATCTAGAGGAAAACCCCCCACTGCCAATATCTGCCAATTTTTAATGGTTCATCATCATTTATCCATATTTATCTTATTAAAGTGGCCATTTGGAACCCTACCCCGCCAGACACACCGATATAGGACTGGGAAATGGGTTGTCAACACGGGAAATCTACCAGGTCATGATAGGTTGCAGGCAAACAACAGCCAGGAGAGTTTCGATGCTTAGTGGTGATGCTCAACCACTCAACCACTCTATCCCCTTGCTTGAAGTAATCCCTTCCCGTCAATATTGAATACCTCCGTGTGGGCCCAAAAACATGATGGATTCAGTACTAAAACACCAGGTGTTTCTTGGTGATATTGCTGTAGTGGTTGGCCTTTTCGCTTGTTCCAGCAGATTCTCAGATGCTCACTGACAACTGGATGGAGTTTAGGTTGGAAAGGCGAGACATTGAAGGCTTGATTTGAAAAATGTTAAAAGCAGCTCCAGATATGTTCTTTCATGATATTCCAGTGCTGGTTTCACAACTTGACTATCTTGACTACGCCGTTGGCCACTTGATGGAGTTTGTTTTCACCACTTGCTTGGTTTGAAAACTACACCGGTTGGCCAATTTGAAGCAGCTTTTTCAGAGTCCATAAATCCCATATAGCGTCATATACCCGGTTACCCATTAAAATCCCCGTTTAAAAATCTCATTGTTGTTGGTTCAACGGCCCATATGTTTCCATGAATTGCCTTTTGTATGGCCAACTTTAGCTTTCCCCCACACACACCACCAGTGGATCCAGTCCACCATTGCGGTGTTGAGAGCCCTGAAAATAAATGACTGCTTGGTGGTTTGGAACATTAATGTTATGACTTTCCATATGTTGGGAATGTCATCATCCCAACTGACTTTCATATTTTTCAGAGGGGTGGCTCAACCACCAATCAGATGAATTGCTTTCTGGCAATGTGTGCCAATTTGCTTTCGAAAATCACCTAGCTAAATAGTAGCTAAATCATCGCCATAGCAAACTGTCAAATCACCTGGGGCTCTAAATGAATGTTTCATATGTCGCAGCTTCGATCCCAGTCTGATCCCTTCAACCAATCCCTTGGTCTGAGGAAGGGCTTGAGCCGACTGCTCGACTGCTACAACATGCACATTGGGCAGAAGGAACAAGAAAACTTGGAATCTCAGACTGCTGGGGACTGCCTGGGGCTGGTGGGATGTGAGATGGTCTGAAAATTGTGGATTTACCGTGAAAAAGAACATGAATAGATGGCAATGGTTAGAATCATGTAAGAATCATGATAAGGAAATGGATGATTAAGCATCAAGTTTGGGGGTAGCCTATTTTCAGACAAAGCCACAGGAGACTTCGGCGAATGTATGTAGTGAACTCAAAGGACCTCAATATCAATGATATTTTGCTACTGGAGGAGACAGAACATATACCCTCTGGTTATGTAACAAAGCCATGGAAAATGGCCCATTTATAGATGGTTTCCCTATCAAAATGGATAAACATGATGATTTTCCATGGCTATGTTAAATAACCAGATGGTACTGTGAGCTGTTGTCGGTAATTCCGAGGAAATGTCATGGCTACTGGCTACTTTCCGTAAGTTGATCTTGAGTGGTTTGAGTCTCTTCTTTATCCTCAAGGATCTTCATTTCTGCGAAGACTGGGTCATACTGAGTCTGTCTGGAAAACACCTCTCGATGATGAAGATGATGGTGATGGTGATGATGATGATGGTGATGGCGATGATGGTGATGATGGTGGTGATGGTGCAGATGGAATGTGGCAATTTGACCCCAGCCCCAACCCGGATCCACGAAACTCCGCCTCCGGGACGGACGGATCTGCCCAGGAACGAGTCATGGACAGTCGACTCGAACTCGTGGCGCAGAAGCTGACGAGACTCTACGCCACTGGACATCCCTACGATGACAACTCGCCGGACACGCCCCGAAGCGGTGACTCTGCAGGGGCTACCAATGGATGGTCAAAGGGGCTTTGCTTCAAACATAGAAAACTGCAGTTGTGGAAGTCGCACCCTGAAAAGAGTGTCCCACAGACATCCATGGCTACACAATCATGGCCCCATGGCTCGAAAAAACGCCCGCCCGCAGGACCCGTTAGTGTTTCAGTGGCTTCACGAGTCGGGCTTCTTGGATTTGCAGGTGCAAGGTATGAAGAAAATCCTGCAGAAACTTGACATTCAGACCCCCGGCTGGCCATTTGTCGCCTGGCGGACGCGGCTGGGAGTTGCTTGAGTTTGTGGTCGCCGATTCCCCCCTTGATCCAACTTAAGATGGAACATGGACCCCTAAACTGGCTCCAGGACAACCAATTTGCCGACCCAATTCTTTGGATTCCATGTTACATGTCTGGGGGATTCTGGGGGTGTATCCTGATGATAAACATGGATAAACATGTGAGCGGTTTGTGATGATATCAAACCCTGGAAAAAGATCGGGGATGAGTTGTTTGGTCCTAAAGTGATAGTGGTAGTGGTTTCATGCAGGCTGAAAGTCAACTCAGTTGGTGGAATTTGGGAACCGCAAATCCTCGTTCAAACGAAAGCACGACTTCGTTTGAGCAACGGATGAAACAGCAAGGCATGTTTCGATTTCGTGGTTTAACAGTTTTCTTTTGATCCATTCCATTCATATCCATTTCCCAAATTTTTATATGGTTGTAACACGTGTTAGTTAATATACGGTATGCTTATAACGGAACGTCTTACCCGCTAGGCAAATATGGCTGGCTGCAGTTTTGCTAGAGTTAGCAAGAACATTTGCCGCATTTCTACATGTAGCTCTGCAGGATTATGTGTATACGCGTGTATGGATCACTGAAAAATGCGTAGCACATATTTGAAACATTTTGTAAGGTACCTCTTGCAAACATAGCTATGGATACTCACAACTGATTCTAAACAGGTAAAACATCTATCCCATAGCTATGTTAGATTCCCAGACGGCAAATGGCTCACGTCTTCAAAATCTGTTGTCTTGTTTTTTTCCGGTGATTCACGATTTCAGTAGGTTCTTACATTATGTTGCTTCTCTATCTTTTGGGGGCTTGCTGTATACAATGTGGTGCCCCATAGTTAGCTAAGTTGGTTCATAACTACAATAACTAGGGTTTATTGAAGATATACCGATAAATTCTATAGTTACTTGGGGTTATAAAGCAACTTACAACTGGGGGGGACACCACCTGGTACCCAGCTGAGTCTGAGGTCTCCAAATGCTTCCGCGAAGCGCGGCCATTTTGGAGGTCACAAGCTTTTGCGATGCTGGAGCTGTGCCCTGACGAGATAGTCTGCCGTGACGAAGCATCTGGAGCTATGGAACTCAAATGGGATTTTAGAAAGGCCAAGGGTAACCTAGGATATCTATGGATATCTGAGTTTCATGTACTTTAGTATTAAATTAACCGTGTATTGTGAAAGAAACAACCCCGGCCCAAAAGAAGAAGGGAATACCTATGATTTTGGGGATGGGCGTTATATACCCTTCGACTCCCACCTTGCCCGCGTAGTTTTGCAATCAAATCATATCAAATCAGTGACCTGGGCCGTCCTGGCAAAAAAAATGAAAAATAGAAAACAATGTGTGTGGTGAAGCAGCGCGGGCATAGGCCGTGTGATTTTGCATCCTTATGTAATCAAGACGTTGATTTTGGGCCACATACTCGGTGTGGGACTGTCGCCCACTGCCTCCAACTCCGACACAGCGCGCAGTAATGCTTTGGACCTCGAATTTAAGCGCAGCAAATCCCAGGCGTAAACAATAGTTCGCCTGAATATTCTTAATTATTGTGTGCATTTGTTGGTTAATTACCATCATGCAGATGTGATTTTTGTAAAGAGTGATGCACGTGGTTTGTCGTTGTTAGCTGTTGCCCAGTTGTCAGCTCGTGTCGGTTGTCCCTACCTATGTGCTAGACCCTGGCTGCCATAAAGCTACCAGACTTGGGGATGGTTTAAATAGAATCCATACAAGTGTTAATGACCTGGGGACTTTTTTTCGGGTTTACCACTCACATTGGTTGTGATAATTACGAAATGTAGCCACCTTTACGCTTTGGCTGTCGGCGCCGCAACTACTATGATTCCAAGTGTTATCATGTTGGTTGCCTGCCCAACACCTACTTTTCGGCCCCCCTCTCAAGTGGGTTTTACTAGGATTAAATGGATTTCAATGGGATCTAGGCTTTGGTAAGCCCTTGGAACTTGCTTAGTGGTGGCCAAGACGACATGAGACTTGGGGTGCCCGCAAAGTTGGCTCCTGGTGTTCTGAAGTTTGTCAACGGGACATGGCGCGTTAAACAAAAGAGTCCCAGTTGGAAAATTGATTCTTGACCATCAAGTCCAAGGCATTCACAGAACACCAAATATCTTTGCTGAATTTTTACCATGCCTGAAGTTCAAGACACAATCCACTTCGCACTTTCTGTTGGTGGAAAACAACAGCCAGTCTTTTTCACAAGCATCAGATCATCACCAAAGCTGAAGGAGCTTGTCAGTTCTCCATTCTTCAAATTTCACCTTGTTTGTTCCATTCAGGCTTCCAGGTCTTGCCATTTCTGCATTTTCCTTTGGCCATCCCATATGACCCCCCTCTGGATTCCACTGCACCGCCGCGGCCCAGATGGGGATCTTTCACAAGTGAACACGTTGCCCTTACGTAGACATGCGTATATAGACCTTACACGGACCTTACGTATGCCGGATAGCTCAAACTTAGCTCCTGCATGTTCCTTTGCCATTCACTTTTCCGATCTCAAAACGTAGCTTAGCTTAGCTATGGCCCTCCAACTTCCGAACCCTGACGTATTTCAACTAGAGACATATGCACGAAACGGTTTAATCCCTTCCTCCTAATACTAAACCCCCCCCCCTAATACAAAACACGGCAGGTAGTTTTTAGTATTAGGGGGGTATTTATTATTAGGGAACCAAATCGAAGTCATGTTAATTAATTAATTAAATTTCCTTATATAACGCAATTAAAATATTGCCAAAAATGGCAGTTCGAAGCTTACCCCTAATACTAAATTAAAACCCTTAATACTAAAAACTATTTTTTCCGATCTCAAAATCAATTAAATTTCCTTATATAACGCAATTAAAATATTGCCAAAAATGGCAGTTCGAAGCTTACCCCTAATACTAAATTAAAACCCTTAATACTAAAAACTATTTTTTCCGATCTCAAAATCAATTAAATTTCCTTATATAACGCAATTAAAATATTGCCAAAAATGGCAGTTCGAAGCTTACCCCTAATACTAAATTAAAACCCTTAATACTAAAAACTATTTTTTCCGATCTCAAAATCAATTAAATTTCCTTATATAACGCAATTAAAATATTGCCAAAAATGGCAGTTCGAAGCTTACCCCTAATACTAAATTAAAACCCTTAATACTAAAAACTATTTTTTCCGATCTCAAAATCAATTAAATTTCCTTTATATAACGCAATTAAAATATTGCCAAAAATGGCAGTTCGAAGCTTACCCCTAATACTAAATTAAAACCCTTAATACTAAAAACTATTTTTTCCGATCTCAAAATCAATTAAATTTCCTTATATAACGCAATTAAAATATTGCCAAAAATGGCAGTTCGAAGCTTACCCCTAATTGCTAGAGTAGCCAGGCAGCTTGGAGTGAGGGATTGGGACTAGGCCCCCCTAATACTAAACACCCCGGGGTGAACTAGTTTTTAGTATTAGGGGGGAGAACCCACAAATGGTAGGTTGATTTTTAAATTGTTTTTTAAAGGGGATCAATTAAAAGTCAAATTGGCCAAACTGAAATTTTCGGAAATTGGAGATGGATGCCTGTTTTTAGTATTAGGGGGACGTTTAGTATTAGGAGGAAGGGATTAGTATACTGTGCAATTTCCAATGTTGTTCCCAAACGAAATATATTTGCCAAAAAATATGCACACCATTTCATGTTGTTTTAAAATATATATATATATATAATTATATATATATATATAATTTTATATTTTTATATATTTATATGTAATCAAAATACTGAGATACATACAGGTAAATTGTATATACGTATATATAGTGCACGTGATTTCCCCCTGCCCTGGCCGCCAGGGCAGTTGCTGGCCAAAGCCACTGGTTCGCCCGCTCCCTGGAGGGTCCGGACGATTTGGACCGGCGACGCTTCGCGATGGATGCCCTGCAGTTGTCGCAGCCGCCGGCCTTAGACTGCCACTGGGCTGGACCTGCTGCGGCCAGGCATTCCATGGGCATTTGGGACTGGAATCCCATACCATTCTCAAAAACACCATCATTTTGGGTGATTTTGGAGAATGGCTTTTAAGTAGGTGTGCCACATGATATACATATATATCTATATATACATACATATATTAGATATTTAGACTATGGAGGTTTCCAAAACAAATGGGGGTACCCCCAGTTATCACCCTTGTCATGGATGACAAAAACATCAACAAAGTAGTGTAGAATATGATATAATGGGTATATGGTTCAGATATCATGGGGATATAACGAATGATGATATTCATTGGTGCTTTCAAATATTGTTTGTTTTCCTATGCGGGATGATGTGAAACACAAAAATGACCTAAGAGTGGCGGGACGGTTTGAAACCACCAGCCTATGGTAGAGATATGTAGAGATCACGGTCGTTTTTTGTTGTTATGTTTTGGCCATGGCATATGTGTGTAAGTATGGATTTGCCATTCTTGGAGTGTATGCTACCCTCTGGGAATTTAACATAGCTATTGAAAATGGCCATTTATAGTGAGTTTTCCCATTGAAAATGGTGATTTTCCATAGCTATGTTAGTTTACCAGAGGGTATCGGATATGGAAAATCATCCCTGTTTTATCGGTGTCTCCTCCGATGGGTTCACATCATCGATTTTTTGGGTGTTTTCCATCCTGCCTGGGATGATGGTTTTCCAACGGACTCAGCATCTTAGATATCTCCCGTCTCAGGCATCAAGGATTTATCTCATGGAAGTCACCAACTCTCCCAATGTCTCATCATTTTTCCCCACAAATCCACCAGAGAAATTGAGACAAATCCATCCCCTTCCGGGGCACGGAGCGGCCCAGGTCAAGTTCTCTCCTACGTCTTGGAGCTGGCCCTTCTGAAGATGATGGAAAGCTTCGGCCAAGATGAGATCGGACAAGCGGCCTGAACAAACGCCCAACCCTGGATGAGATTAGACTGATTAGACAAATTAGCTCACTATTGGTGTTGTGGTAACACCCCCCTAATAGGAATAGTAGTTGGATAATTTATGAGAATTTACTCAAAGAGATTTGGTAGCTGGATTTCTTAGCCAGCCCTGGCTTAACATTAGTGCATGGTTGGCCCCCCGGTTATAACCTTGTTTTCTGATCCCCATTAATTAATTATGAACAAGCTTAGCGTTCACAAATTGGGGCCCCACCTTGTATTAACATTATTAACATCCTTAAACATCATGAAACCATGATAAAACACAACAAATCACCATTTGTTTCTGGTGAAATCCAATTTGTCATTGGTAAATGTTTTGCATTCGTATCAATATGCACATACTTACACACACTAGACAAGAGTGGATCTTTTCAGAGATCCGTCGGGAACTGAGTCCCTAAACGTGCAACTAGATTAGTTACTTATATGTGTATATATATATAGGACTACGGTGGCCACCAGCTGCGACTTAAATGCGCCCGGGTGCACCACCGAAGTCCAGCGGGTACGTTTGCACGGGTCCCGGGGAGGTGTCTTCGTTGGTCACCGACCCCCCCGGGACCCCGGTGACCCCCCGCATTAGGATATATTATATTACAATATGATGCGTAAACGAAGTTTTACGTCTATACAGACGTGCCACACACACACACCCTGCCTTTGGCAGGGTGGTGCCATGGAAAATGAGGTGAAGATGAGGATGAAAGGGGGAATGAACGTGAGATGAACATGAAAATGAGATGAAAGATTGCTGAACCAGAACGCGAAGAGGGGAACGCAAAAGAAGAGGGAGAGAACACACACCAACACACCTGGCCCGAAGCGGGCAAACCCTGAAAGGGCAAGGAAAGAGAAAAGCGGAGGGCCGACAGACACGGAACAAGACCAGCGGAGGGGGGGAAGACGGGAAGACGGAAGCGCCTGAACCAACCTGACACAGCGAAAACCTACACAAACCTCAGCACGCGACGGACCCGACCTACCTGGCGAGGGAAGAACGCATGAAATAGGGGACCAATGGGGGACAAGTTGGTGAAAGAAGAAAACCAACACCAAGAATTGAGGGGACCCAGTTCCACCTACAACAAAAGTCGTGGGTTACTCCCCTTCGGGACCGTGGTCAAGTCGCGCCGCAATGGCACAAACAGCTGTTCAAGTTCCAGCGAATTAGATGCACAATATGTTCAACCTCACCAGAAAACAATCAAAAGAAAAAGACAACACCTGGAAAGCATGAGCCTGCCTGGTCTATATTTCATGTTGCTGTGCAAGTGTCCCTCCAAAAGCTGCGCTGATGAAAAAGAAGCAGTTTCTGCAGTTCCGTGCAGTTCCGTGCAATCTCATTTCGGCGAAGGTGCAGGTTCGGAAGGATCCCTTAAGGGACCACAGGAGCAGCGGGAATTCCCAAAAAACGGTGAAGAACGGAAAGGCCGTCTGTTCCACTTTACTTAAACGAATTACCAATTGAAAGGTGTCGATTCAGAGGTCAAATTCGTCAACAGTCACCCACAACGGCGTTGCCTCCAGTGGCCCTATGGCACCTTGTCGGAGTCACCATAGGTATTACACTAGACAAGAGTGGATTCTTTAAGAGATCCGTCGGGAACTGAGTCCCTAAACGTGCAACTAGATTATAGTTACTTATATGTGTATATATATATATAGGACTACGGTAGCCGCCAGCTGCGACTTAAATGCGCCCAGGTGCACCACCGAAGTCCTGCGGGTACGTTTGCACGGGTCCCGGGGAAATGTCTTCGTTGGTCACCGACCCCCCCGGGACCCCGGTGACCCCCCGCATTAGGATATATTATATTACAATATGATGAATAAACGAAGTTTTACGTCTATACAGACGTGCCACACACACAAATATACATACGCACACACACACACATATATATATATATAAACAAGACATAGTCAGCTTCAGTTCCTAAGGTGGAGGGCACAATGCAGATCCTGCTCTCCATGGTTCCCTGCAGCAATTCCATCGCCTTGTTGCTGCAATTCATGGCCAAGTTCCCGAAGATCCAGCTGCGTTTCGTGGAGCCTCGCTTCGGGGATTATACTAGGATGTTTACCATCTACCAACTGGTGCAGGATTTCGCAACCATCCACCAGTGGCTATGGAAGATTCATGAGCATGGGCAGTTTCTAGTTGACTTGCCTATTAACAATCATGCTTTTCCGCAGCTATACCCGTTAGATTACCAGAGTGCTTGTTATAAGTCGGGAGAGTGCGACTACATTTCGGTCTTATTAGGTATTGTCTTTCGGCCCACCCTACCTAATGCTCACACTTTCAGGTTGTATTGCAGTGGCAAGGGTGGCTGGACATGTCATGTCAATTCATCACAATTGTTTGCAGTCCATGCTTGCCAGTTCAAACAAGGAATCTAAGAACATCCAGTCATAACATGAGTTTGAAATAGTTTGAATGTATTTTTCAGACATGTTCAGTCATCTAAGGAAATCCAGTTGAACACGCAAATGCTCTCCAATTTCCTGAGCCAATGAGCAGCTGCAAAAAGAGAAGTGCCTGGAACAAGATCTGCCTAGAAGAAGCTCCGACGACTCTGGGCTTCGACAATCTTGAAGGATGACCACAACAAGCAACAACAATAACAACAAGAAGGATCCAACCAACTACAACAGGATAACAATGATAAGAATGAACAACAGCAAAAACAGTGAAGGTCATTTATGTGGATCACATGTTTTGATATGTTTTGATATGTTTCTATGCCATACGTGGCCATGCTGATATCGGAAAGGTCCAGGTTTCACTTAGCTCCTCTCGGGCTCAGTTGGAGCTTGTGAAGAGCCGCTCAGAGATTTGAAAGTTCGCAGTGCGAGGGTGGTGTTGAAGAGCAACTTTGTCAGCTACCCTTTGGTCATTTAAATTTAACAGTTTGCTATGGCTGCTATGGAAAATGGATGAAAATGGTTCATTAAGATAGCTGATTCATGATGATTTACCTGTGAAGAATAGTGATTGATAGCTATGTTGAATAACCAGAAGCTAATCTATGCCATTTGGCATCATATCCGTCCAGGATTCATATGCATGCGCATCTTTGGGTAGTTGTAAAATAGCTCTGGTCATAGTATTTGTTGTTGCTGTTATACACATAGTTCGTATATGCTACACATTCCGTACTTAACTACATATGCTGGGGGTGGTTTTCAAAAATGTCCTCGCTTCAGACGGATTCTTGATGAACAAGAATTAGATCATTATCAAACATTATCAAACTACTGTAATTGGTCACACAACGGCCGATCATCAAAAAAGGGCTTTCGTAGAGAGCTTCGATCTTGCTGAGCTTGTTTGGCTGGATTAGCAGGAAATACATGAGCCATAACTATGGAGACGTGGCTAAGGATAATCTGCACACAAACATATTTCTTTGTTGTTCACTGTATTTTTGGCTGTTTGTTGCATTTTCCATGTTTGTCATCAGTTTGGTGGTTCAACCCGCAAGCAGATGGTTTTACATTGGCTTACTCTTGCAAAAGATGAGATTAAGAGAATCAACTGGCATAAAGTGTGGATCAGAAATCATAAATATAATTGCTCGACATTCAACATGCTCTTTGGGTGTTCGTTTGAATCATACGAAATGGCCAATGTTCGAATGACCACCAGAGAATGTGGCAACTTTGTTCGATGTTCGGAACTGGGACTGGTGGTGCCCTTCAATGATGGTTGTTTGCCTCGAAAAAATATGAACGTTAGATACAGCCTCCGGTAATTTAACGTAGCTATTGAAAATGCTGCTTTTCCATAGCGAACGGTTATAAGTTTACCAGCGGGAATATACCATAGACATCCATAGTCTATCTAGTTATATATATATATATGCTAAGGATGTTTGGGACATCACATTGATTTACCTGTAGCTTTTAGCAAGTTCTAGTGGATAATCCGACGAGACGGTCCAAGCTTAGATGGTTGGGGTGCAGATACGTAGAGCATATGATATGTATGTTCTACTGATCTTACGGTCTTATATTCAATATTCAAGACGGTCTTATATTCAATATTCAAGACTGTAAATATAATGTACTGTTTATATTTATATATACATATATAGATATTGTATGTATATTACATATAAATAAGCATATACGATATGAATCATGCATATACATTGTTCGCACATGTTTGTGCACATTGATATGTATGGGCAGTGTGTGTGTATGTCACACATGCACCTTGGCGATCATAGCCGACTCCACCGCAGGTGCTTGATCTGAAGCAGGGCTATCAGTTGTTTTTTTCTTCGGTGGGTTTATGGCAATGATATTGCAAACGAAGCTGTTTGTTAGAAGTCCATGTTTGAGATGTTTGAAAAGCAGTGATATAAAGAAGCACCGAACCCATTTAACCATGAATTGAAGAACCATGACAATGATCAAACACAAAGATTGTGAAGAACCATCGCCAAACAAAACGAAGTAAACATCATAACAACGTGTTTTCATGCAGAATAAATACCTAAGGACGTCCAAAATGGCCTCACTGTTTCACCGTGGCGCAGCAGCCCCGCGGCCCCCCACAACCGTCAGGGCGCACGAGGTAAAGATTCTTCGCTATGGAAGGTCAAACCGGATGTGTTTTTGTCCACGTTCGCTTGGCTTGTTTTCGTTACTATTCTCTAGTTGTTGCAATTTGTCCACTTTCTTCCCTGGTCTGAACTCATACCTCGCTCATCCCCGTTGTTTCTGTGCGCATCATGGATAGGGGAAAAGCCACCAATTCCCTGGGTTTCAATGAGATGTTTTGCATGAACCTCCCCTTGCATTTTCATGCATGATCAAGACGCGCTAATATGGACCGGGTTGCCGATGTTGCTGTGGCTGATCGACTTGGGTCAGGTTTGTATGGTATAGTTTACTGATGTTTACTGAACCATGAGATGATGGAGGAGCAGTAAAGTAGGCCAACTT